TATATATATATATATATATATATATATATATATATATATATATATATATATATATATATATATATATATATATATATATATATATATATATATATATATATACATACATATATACATACATACATACATTAATCAGCTCAATTGAATTGAATCGAAGTTTTGGTCCAATTGAATCGATAGGATAATATTTATAAAATTGAGCTCACATTATTTATAAAATTATGACATTGAAATTATGCTAACGGAGCCTTTCGGTCGATTTGATTAATCTAATTTGATCCAATAAAAACTTAAGATAGTGAATCTGAGTGAGTTAATATTTTTTAAATTAAGATCGATTTGATTTGATCCGAATTGATTAATCGAACGAAAGAAGAATACTCTTATATATTTATAGTCTTCAAAATTAAAATATTAATGAATCAATTCGAATCGAATCAATTTTAGATTGATTGAGCTCTAGTTTGACTTTGAGTCCAATTTAGATTTTTGATTCAATTTGAACATCTCCAATTAAGGCTTAGAGATTTAATTAAAAATTTATTTAATAATTGGAGTAATGATGTAATTTACCGTTCATATATTTATCATTATCCACTGCGTCTGATGACATATAAGATCTCAAATTTTCAATGTTTAAAATGTGATATTCCTGCACAATAATAGCATGTAGAGTGGGAAACGGATTTGCAATGGGAGCGCCGCTCCCAAAGCAAAGGGCGTTTCCGTGGGAACATGTCTTATCGTGTCATTGGAACCCATTCATGGTCCCAAACTACCAAGTCACTCCTGCACTCGCTGCTTCCTTGCCCTCCTCCTGCTCAGCCTATATAATGCCACACTAACGACTCTGGCTTCCTCCTCCACCTGCGCCCCCTTCAGAAGCCTACACTAAAGTATCGCCATTTGGTGCTCACCCGAGCAACAATGGCGGACGTCGACCGTTGGGTGCCAACCCTGACCCCGGCCAACGCCGCAGGCCTCCGCCGCCTCTCGGCCCGCGCCGCCGCCAGCCCCCGCGCCTCCTCCTCCTTCCGCCGCCTCGGCCTCCTCTCCCTCCGCCCCCTCGCCGAGGCCGTCCTCTCCCACCTCCGCGCCGCTTCCGTCACCTTCCGCCCCGGCCTCTCCGAGCCGGAGCTCGCCCGGCTCGAGGCCGACCTCGCCTTCTCCTTCCCGCCCGACCTCCGTGCCCTCCTCGCCCTCGCTCTTCCCTCCGGCCCTGGCTTTCCGGACTGGCGCGCCCCCCGACCCACCCTCCTCCTGCGCCTCCCCCTAGCCGCTGCCGCCGTCCAGGTCGCCCGCGGTGCCCTCTGGCCCCGCTCCTGGGGCCACCGGCCAGCCGACGCCGCTCGCGCCCTTCGCCGCGCCCGTGCCGCTCTCCGCCACGCCCCGCTCCTCCTTCCCCTCTTCGGCCGCTGCTACCTCCCCTGCTCCCCGTCCCTCGCCGGGAACCCTGTTTTCTATGTCGACGACGCCCGCGTTTTCTGCTGTGCCCTCGACCTTACCGACTTCTTCCAGCGCCACTCAGCCGTTCTCGGGCACCCGGAGCCCTCCTCGCCCCTCCGGAGTCTGGACGCCGCCTCCGCCGCCGGCATGAGCCCTCGCTGGATCGAATTCTGGAGCGACGCTGCCTCCGACCACCGCCGCCGTAGCTCTTCTTCTTCGTCGTCGTCGTCCTCCTCCTCGTTCTCTTCCTCTGCTTCGGAGACAGCTTCCACGTCCTCGTCATCGCCTCCGCCGGATCCGAAGCGGTTCGTGGAGATCCGGTCACCGAGGTTGCCGGACTGGGTCGGAAGCTACCTGGACCGCGTCGGATCAGTCCTGAGGCAAGGTGGGTGGGGCGAATCGGAAGTCAGGGAGATGGTCCACGTTCCGGCATCGCGGGTCTTCGCCGGCGGCGACGAGCTTGCCGCAACGGCCGAACTGGTCGACGCAGATGCGGTGCTGGACGCGCTGCTTGTGAAGGCGGATAGGTGCTCCGACTCGCTCCGCCGGGCTGGCTGGACCACCGACGAGGTCTCCGACGCGCTGGGGCTAGATCTCCGGCGGCGGCGTGGGAAGGACCACCGCCCACCAGTGAAACTACCCCCAGGGATCGCCCTTAAGCTCGCGAAGCTCGCGGAGGCGGTGGCCCGATCCTGAGTGGCGGTGTCCAGATACAAAAGCGCGTCTGCTTCTTTTCTTTTTGTTCTGTTTCTCGAGTGGCTTTTGCAACGTTCAATTTAGTATAAAGTTCGGGAGGGCGATATACAAGAGAGTGAAAGGGGGTATAGCGTACTCAATATACATATGTCAGCTGTGTATGTGATCGTAAGTGGACAATAAAATGTTTCACGTTACGGAGTATGTTACAAATGCTACAACATTACTCGTTGCTGTTTTCTTGTGTCCTCCTCGAGGTATATATAATCTCCAGACGCTGATCACTCGCTCCATCTCATGAGAGAAAACGATATTCGTATATACTTCCATATCTATTATATATGTTTCTATGAAAATCCCAATCCATCAGCACACCATATGCGAAACATAATGTTGTTGGGAAGGGAATTCATGTACTCAATTTTGTTAGGAAGATGGTGTGCTCTGCTCGGTGGTAGTCTGCACTTGTTTTACTTGTCGTGGCTGGCAAAGGCAACCACACGCGCGGGGATCGCCTCATCTCCAAAAGGCGGAGCCCCCAAGGAAACCCCACTTTGTGCAAAAGCGTGCGTGTGGCTGCCGCTGCTTTCCTTTTCCCTCTCCTCCTGTGTTTTCTGATGCACCTGTTTTCTTTGTTGGGGTGACAGCTTTGGAAGCTGTGGAGGATACTCGAAGTGGATGGGAGCGCAGTGGCACGCTGTCCGTGAACTAAACAAAGAGACACTAGGGAGGGAGGGAGGGAGGTAGAGAGAGAGAGAGAGAGACATGACAGCGAGACTTCATGTTGTTGGGTCATGGGTGGTTGGGTGTGCTCACGCCCGAATCAAAAGCTCTTGCTTTGCTTCAACAGTGTTGGCTGCTGTACGAGACCGATGTACTAAAAGTTTCTTTATTGCAAGTAGAATGAATCATAGGCTCTTTGGATTTGTTGGCCGGGAGCTGACACTATTTGGCCCGGCCAGTTGGACATGTAGATGACATCGAATTCCATTTGAACCATGTTGGATGGGAATTATCAAGCAAGCCATGCACTGTGCTGCCACAGAGTGGTCTCCTGGGTCCGTGGAGATGATTTCATGAATGTAGGGGCAACACTGTTGTCTTTTGTAATGACCGTACTCTTGTACTTCCTATCGAGAAGCTTTTAACATGTACAGAAACAGATAACGATTGGGAGAGGTGGCCTCTCCCTCTTCTGCAGTGCCTCTCGAGCGTGCTCCTCATCTCCTCCGTCTCGCTTCCTCCTGCTGTGGATGCCGAGGACCCTAAGGAGGTAGTCAAGACCGCTTCCGAAGGATAGGAGAGCATGCATGAAGGCTACAGCAGCCCTAGGAAAGGTGCGATAGGGCAGGGACATCATCAGCGACCCGTATAACCAAATTATAGTACACGGCATGAAAAGGAGCGGATGGAGATTGGAATCTGTGGAGTAGCAAAGCTTATTCACATCCACTATGCATTGGAAGTGGGAAAGAGAGATTTCACCATCAGACAGGCAAAACAAACCCGATCAGAGACAAAGGAAGATGCCAAGTTACTTTTGGATGGTTGCTGATAAAATTAAAGGGGAGATGTGTGCCCGTGCGGGGCTGCAACATGATACCTTCTCCAAGGCCTGAGATAAAGTCGAACGGAGGCATTTTACCTTCTGTACGTAATGATGCTTCTGGGAGAGAAGAGAAGCTTTTACTTTTTCTTTATGGTCTCGAGGATAAAAGCAAGATGAGGGTAGGACACTGCTTCGGACTCCCACTGGTTACTTCTGTCACCTATGCGAAGGCCCACCCATTCCAACTCCTCCATGCATGCTTATCTTCAATTCCCAGGATAAAACCATGCGAAGAGGGTGAAGACCTCATGACACCGGCCGGTTTGAGGTCCCAGCAAATTGTCAATCATGTGTATACGTAAACTTCGATCAGTAACTTGGCTAATTTGGATTTAGAAAGATAAATACCGAAATTAAATTACTTTAATTAACATATATCCATAAATAATTTCGCCTTTCTTAATTGCAAGATTGCATGGCTACCTTTCGGATGCATTGAGACCAATGAACAGCCCTCTCTTATCCGTTCGTTGCTCTAACAGCAGCCGCGGGAAACATAAGCAGCAGATAGGAGTCGGCTTTTGGACGCCGCAAAAAAAAAGCCATGGCATTCGCAGTCTCGACCACAGTCGCCGGAATCCACGCCGGCGAGGCTCCTCACGCCTTCGCAAGCTCTTCCCTCAACTTCCCCGCCGGAGGGAGAAGAAGAGGCCCATTTCATTCCACCTTCTCCTCCCGTCCACCACCGCGACCAGTGGCGACTCGGCTCCTCGCCCGAGCCCAGCTGCAGCGCGCGACATGGCTCCCCGGCCTCGACCCGCCTCCCCATCTCGATGGCACGTCTGTTCTCATGCTCCTTCCCTGCCTGCTCTCTGGGTTTTCATTCGAGTAGCTCCTCCGTAGCTCTACGTGATCAAATTCGTGGTTCAGGCTCGTCGGAGACTTCGGTTTCGATCCGTTGGGGCTCGGCGAGGATCCACAGAGCTTGAAATGGTACGTCCAGGCCGAGCTTGTGCACTGTCGGTTCGCGATGGCTGGCGTCGCCGGCATTCTGGTCACAGATGTATGCAACTCGCCATCTGCACCTGTGCACTTCAGATTGTTTCGTTGCTGTAGGTTTTGCACAATCAAATTGAGGTTTGTTTGGATGGATTAGTTTATGGAGGAGTCTTCTGCGGGTCTGTGGTTTGGGGGTGTATCACTGTGTCATGTTTAGCTGACTGTGGGACACTAATAGCAGCATTTTGCAATAGGCGATAAATACTGCAAATGTCTAAGGTTTGCATTCTAATCCATGACGTGCTGCTTCTAGCTACTACGCGTGACAGGATTCGGCAACATTCCAGTATGGTTCGAAGCAGGTGCCGTAAAGTTCGAGTTCGCCAGTACGGAGGCACTCTTCGTTGTCCAACTCCTCTTGATGGGGTAAGATTCACTGACAAATAAACAAAAGAACCTTTTTCTTCTGTGATCACAACATATAAATCAATAGCCATCTATTGTTTTCAGATCTCATGTTCCGTCCTCATTATGATGCAGATTTGTCGAGACCAAACGGTATATGGATTTTATTAAACCTGGATCACAAGCCCAAGAAGGCACCTTTCTGGGGTTGGAAGCTGCACTGGAAGGCTTACAACCTGGGTGAGTGTCGAAATCTCTGATTCCTCCAGCAGCTGCTATTATACCTTGTAATTAAGTGTCATTCGTGCTTGTTTCACACGTCTGTTTCTATTGCATCGTTTGAAGTAGAAGTTCTAGCTATAAGCTTATTTGATCGGTCTTTGAGAAAGCTATCCAGGTGGACCACTGTTTAACCCTCTGGGACTGGCCAAAGATATTGAGAATGCCAGTGAACTGAAGCTGAAAGAGATCAAGAACGGTAATGGTGATCCATAATTCTGTTTGCTTCCGAGTACGAGATGTGGAGCTACTGACGGGGATTTGCTGCCACAGGGAGGCTAGCGATGGTTGCGATGGTGGGCTTCTTTGTGCAAGCGAACGTCACTCACGTCGGACCAATCGACAACCTCACATCACACCTCGCGGATCCATTCAAGAACACCATCATCCACAACGTTTTTGACTCTGCTTCTTGAGAAAAGATGTTTGATGTGGCCCTTCATGCAAGCTTGGGTCGTATAAGAATCCCACCGATTGATTCCATGGCACTGTCATTCATCATGTTATTATTTCTTGAGTTCACCAAACCTAAATCATCTTCTTACTGCTATGACTGTATTGATGTCTTGGATACTCGAGGTTTCCTCCCCAAGGAGTGGTGCCTATTTGGGTTACTTTTGGGTCAACGATGAGCTTCTATTATTAAGAGAGAGAGAGAAGAATTTATGATGTTTTTCAATATTTTAGGGAATAAAAGAAACAACATATTATTAGCACTGATGAGGTGGCAGAGTCTTCACAGGAACGGACTAATTAAGGTCACCTATAAACGAACAAATCAGAGAAAGCAGAGGCTGATAAGAACAAGCAACAAAAAGATAAAAAATTGATGGCTCAGAGGGCAGAGAGAGTTTCCAGAATAGGGTTCTTTACGAGAGCGGTGCCAATTCTGGACATTATTTCCTCCTCTCCTCCCCCTTCTTTTCTGTTCCCTCCGAAACCATTGCATCCTCCAAGTCTTGAAAGGGGAATCAGAAAAGAAGAGGAGAACTATCTAATAATGTAAGTTCTCTTTGTTTCCTTCAGTATCATTCTTCATTAACGTATCGATCGATTCAGCAGAGGTTTTCTTTTCGGATTCAATTTCTCCATTGTATTCTTCTCTCTTTCCTATCTCGTTTGATATAGGAAATAGCTTCTATGATGTTTCTTTCAATTAGTTTTTGAGCTTAGGAAGATATGCATGATTCTCTGCAAGTTTCTCACCTCTATGTTCTTGGACAATGTGTTGCCATAATAGATAATCTGATGCTAAACATTTATTCTTTGGCCGGCCTTAATCTCATTGGCAAGCTTGATTTTTTATCCACTATTTTACGGATTTTGATTTGATTTTGACTCTTTGGATTATGATTTCTGCATCGAACCTTCCTTTTTCTCCCTTCGTATGAATGTGAATCACATGACCAATGAGATGCTTCGGAAGAGTAGTTGTTCTTTGTAGCGTTTTCACGTCTCAATCATTTGCTTCTTGATCTTCTATTTATCTCGCAGAGGAAGTAGCCAGGGAATTATATATACATCCATTCATGGAGGAAGCACATATAATCGAAGAAAGCTCTTCCCGTGCTAATTCGTTTTCGTCGTCCGAAGGTTCCTCTGATCTAGAATCCATGACATTCCCTATCATCGAGGACGGCAGTCATCACCATGGAGAATCAGAGAAGGATGACGACGCCTTGTTTCTCGTTGATGTTCCCAACGCTCCACCAATCATCGACCAAAAAGGACTGGTTGTGCCGGAGAAAAAACCGGGAGCCGAGCTTGAGGACGCCAACTTCGACTCACCAAAATTGCAACGCATTCTGACGCCTCATTCTTTCGACGAATCAAAAGAGCTCGGAACACCCAAAAATGAGAAACAAGATGACGTGAACAGAAGGCTGGTTGACACTGCAGCACCTTTCGAGTCTGTTCGGGCGGCCGTGACGAAGTTTCGAGGTATTGCCGACGGAAAAACTGAAGACTCCAAGACCGTCGAGGTAAATCTTACTTTTCTGGGTTAATTTTGCTGTTAATTTTCGCATGAATCCTGTCATTTTCCTGTTGAAAGAAGAGTAATTACATGCTGTGTGAAATATAGGACCTCGTTACTAAGTAGATCTTTTATATACACAGAGGCAAAAGAGTGTCCAACTTGAACTCAAGAAAGTACAAGATGAAGTTCTAAGGTATCAAAAACAATATGAAGATGCCAAGACGCTGGAAGGACGAGCGCTGAAGGAACGAGATCGGGTGATAGGACTCGTGGAAGAGCTAAAACTTCAATTGGAGACGGCAGAGGCTGAGGAGGCACAAGCAAAGCAAGACTGCGAGCTCGCTAATCTAAGGTTGAAAGAAATGGAGCAGAGAATCGCTGACAATGCAAGCGCCGCAGCCATGGAACAAATGGAGTTAGCCAAAGAACGACATGCGAGCGAGACTGCAGAATTGAAATCGGTCAAACAGGAGCTGGAGTCCATGCAAAGACGGTATGTTGCACTGGTTCTGGAAAGAGACATCGCGATCGGGAGAGCGGCAGATTCTATTTCTGCATCGAAGCAGATCGAGAAGACCATTCAGGATCTGACCCTCGATCTGATCACGACCAAGGAATTGCTCGAGTCAGCTCATTCCGCACGTCTTGTAGCGGAAGAACGAAGAATCGGTGCAGCCTTGAGCTTGGAACTAGAAAATTTGCTCTGGGAAATGTTGATGAAGCAAGCTGAAGGAGAACTACGGCAAGCTAGTGAGCAAGTCCTATCGACGAATGATGTGAAGTCAAAATTAGATAGAGCTTCAACATTGCTAGCCAGTCTAAAAGCTGAAGTAGCTTCGCACATTCAAGTAGCATCATCCACGACCGGAGATGAACTTGAGGAAGTGAGGACTAACATTGAGAAGACTAATGATAGCATCAAATGCTTGAGAGATGCGATTTCTTCACTCACGTCTGAGCTAGAAAGGGAGAAAGAAGCCCTGACGACGGAGAGACAGAAGGAAGCTTTGACATCCGCAGTAGTCTCGTCTCTTGAAGCTGAACTCGAAAGCATCAACAATGAGTTGCAACTGGTTCTGAGGAGGGAGAAGGAGGCCAGAGAAAAGGTGGAAATACCGAAGGCACTAGAACAAGCAAATGCGGAAGCAGAGCAAGCCAAATTAGCAGCTGCCTCGGCACGCGAGGAGCTAAGGAAGGCAGAGGAAGAAGCAGAAGTGGCCAAGGCAGGAGCCAGCAGAGTGGAGATGAGATTAGACGCCGCTCTTAAGGAGATTGAGGCAGCTGAAGCCTCGGAAAAGTTGGCTAGCTCAGAAGTCGAAGCATCGAAAGAGAGTGAACAAGCGAGAATGGAGTGCGAGGACCCGTCGAACAGAGTAACGTTGCCACTCGAAGTGTACCGGAGACTTCGCAAGAACGTCGACGAATCAAAGGAGCTTGCTAACAAGCGACTGATTTCAGCCACCGAGCAAATCGATGCAGCCAAGGAGTCCGAGTCGAGGAGATTACAAGAACTGGAGGAGGCAAACAAGACGATCGAAGAAAGGAAGAAAGCACTGAAAGCCGCACTAGAGGTGGTGGAGAAGGCCAACGAAGTGAAACTGGATGCAGAGCAGGAGATGCAGACATGGAGAGGCGAGCATGGACAACCGAGGAAACCGACCGGCACGCGAAGCTTGTCTGACTTTTCTGATCTTGGTGGTGCCATTGGAGAATCGGAGAGCTCCGAGAGCGACTTAGATGCTGCAATCGAAGAGAGCTTCACTCCCAGGTCCTGTATGGGGCGGTCAAAGACAACCAATGCCGTACCGGAGCCAAGACGGAGGAAGAGGTTGTTCTTCGCACGGATAGTCATGTTCTTGGCGAGGAAGAAGGTTCAGTCCTTGAAGTAAGAGAAGCGCGTCTTGCAGTGTCCGTATAATTCTCTGCGTTATACCATGCAGAACCACAAGTAATCCTGCTGTGGCTGCTGGGACTTCTGCGGTCTACAACTCACGGAGCATGGTGTTTTAATTTTTTTTTCCTTTGATTGATTCATATCGTCATTTCCAATGTAAACGTTTATAAGCTTTCAGAATAATCCTTTTAATTCCCTAAGAACCTAAATGAGTTCTTTCATCATTTATGTTGTTCAGTGTTGATGGACTTTCTGCTACTAATCGAACTATAAACCAAGGAAAACTATATGACACAAAGTTGATCTTAGTAGTAATGGACCAAAGTTTGGGCCATATGAATCTGTTGAATGCTGATTACAAACATGCAGTAGTGTTCGCCTAATCAAACAACCTCACACCACGGGGGAAATCTTCGCAGTGTCTCAGGTACGGGGCCACCGATCCTATATCGACTTTCTTTCTTGCTTTGCAGTCGTAAGACGGAGGAAAATGGAAGCAGGGCTCCATCGACATGGAGTGGAGGCAAAGATCATGGTCATCCGGCCTCACCAGAAGCCACGGCCTCAAACCGCCCAGCCCCTGCGCCACATACCCGAAAGTGGAGAATGGGCTGGTGATCAGTGCATCGCTCAGGCTCAACAGGTAAATCTCTGCAAAAGCTTTCATGTTGTGGTTGAGCTTCTCCGAATGCTGCTTCTCTTCATGGCTTGGTTGGTGGACGCTGATCACTTCTCCGGTGGTCGTCGCGTGCTCGTAGTACATGTTCCTGAGCTTCTCAAAGTACCCACTGCGCAAACTGGTCACAAGAACTGATCTCGGTTTCGCTCCGGTGATGGTTGGAAGAGCAGTATCCGTTAGATTAACGTTGGGCAATAACCTTTTGGTCAGTGCGCAGTCGATGATGTAGTCTGAGTGGCTATCGAAGTCAGCCTTTCCGAACAGTCTGATCTGGATTCCCAACCTTGATTTTGCATTGGCAAGATAAGCTTCATAGTACCTCGTTATGTAGCCCCAGACGGTGTTGGATGGATGGAAAAGATACGTTCCCAGATGGTGGAAGACGGCCGTCTTCTCCGGGAAGAGCAGACTCAGTTCCGTGTCGAACTCCGGGACGAGAAAGAAAGCGGGCGCGAAGTACTGGTTCGATCTCAGCAGCAACCAAGAGAACTTGCGGAGTAGCTGCTGACCCTCTTCGCAGTAGAACATCTTATCGAATTCGTCGTTGGAATGTACCAGGTGGAGATAGAGAAACGCCGGCAACGAAGCGTTTGCGGTGTCCATATCGTTGCTAAGCAGCTTGTTCTTGAGCAAATTTCCATAGCCGTGATCCTTCTCCAAGACCCAGCTGTACCTGACGGGGAAATCGGAAGGGAGAACCCACGACGTCTCAGGAAATGGCTCGCAGAAGAGGTCGCCCATGTCATCGGTGAGGTGGAGCAGTAAGACCTTGTCGTTGAGCAGAGCGTAGAGGAAGGCGGAGGCGATACTTATGATCCTGTTGCCTAAGCCGTCGGATGGCACCCACACCACGTAGTTGCACTCCGCGGCTGCTGTGCCGGTGTTGGACACCAACTGTTCGACGGCCTTCCTGTAGAGCTCGGTGTTCGGACCACATTTCTTGTGGAGGGCTTCGTACCTTCGAAGCCTTCGGATGAGGTAGGGCGAAGGAGTGTGGTTTGATGGTTTCCTCCGGTACCATGCGGACTGGTGGCGGCTCAGGCAGGAAGCGCCGTCGAATGCGACGGACAAGAGATCTCCGAGAAGCTCGTCCTTTGGTGGTTCTGCAGTGGAAGATCCAGCAGAACAGCTCCTGTTGGTGACTGCGGAATGATGAACAGAGTACGCAACAAAAATGTCATCACGTCGGGTGAAGGATGAGAGAGGCGGAATTGCTAAACGAGGATGAGGAATCTGGTCAAATAATAGTAATCTGACATATTATAGGGTGCTTATACGGGTCAACATCCAAACAAGGCCAATTATATTCTATATTCGTATAACGTGTCGTATACAACAAGTGGTTAACTTAAAATCAAGCTTAATGACCCAAAAATTCAACTAGAATGAACAATGATGGAAGGAATCTGATCCAAGACTGAATGATAAATTTAGATGCGAAACTCTTATGCCTTCCATTTTTTACGTCTCCCAGTTGGATTAATCAGCCAAAGCTAAGAAATCATATCACTTTCCGAAGCCACACAAACAGATTCAACACGAGTGGGTTGAATCTTCACCCAGGAAGACATGCATGAAGAGCGTGTCTTTCTCGTCCATTCTTCACCCAGAAAGAACGATACGTAAAGGGAAAGATCCCCGTCAAGATCTGCAGAATCGAAGAGGCTAACCTTCGCCCGGTACCGCATAGCTTGAGAGGAGGAGATCAGGCGACAAACTGCGATGGGCTCCCGACAGTACAATGAGAAGCAGGGCAAGCGCGAGGAAGGGGAAGACGAAGAGTGACCTTGCGAGTGCGTAGCCAAGAGTTCTTTCTTCGAACATGGCGCCCCGATTCACCTCCCGGTGGCTCGTCGCGAGGCTGCCTTCGGATCTGCTTTATTTGTCACCTCTTCGACGGGCGGACGACTTCACAGCACGTCTCTTTCCAGAATCCGAAGACGAGACTGCCCCATCCAACTTTTGTAGGACAAATGATCAGGTCGTGCGGTGCAGTTCGTGTTTTGTTTCGATGGGCTTAAATAGAATACTCGTTCCAATTTGAGCTACAAAATTAATAGTAAGAAGATACAAATTGCCATCATAATGAATGTTAGCATATTAGGTCATCACAATCGTGGGAAGTCGTGGCGCTTTACGTGATGGTCTTCTTTTCTTGGTGTCACAAACTATTTCTCTATGAATTACGACGAGTGCTTAATGATCAAAACTCATCATTTATCCTTACTTCAGCTGTCACATACATTATTATCCTGTGGTAGGGCGAGAATACAAGGATTTTCTAGTGATCATGCTGCATTAGGATTGTCAATAGATCAATTTAAGGCAGGGATTAATAGCAGTATCCTTCACATAGCTTTCCAAAATTCCTCACATTTTTTGTCATTATATCCAAGCATAGCTTATGCAACGTAAACACCGTGGCTCATGGCGTATTTGAGACTGCCATTAAAGAAGGTTCCATTTGCAAATGCATTTACCATGTATGAGGCCGAGTGTTTTGTTGATCATGACACCATCATCACCCGAAGGTAACAATCTGAATCCAAATACTGTTCTTAGTGTTATGGTAAGTAACTTTTTTAGCCGTGGCCTCGGGGCCGTCGCGGCTTGGTTCGGGTCCGGAAGGCGGTGATCTCCGTGGGGGCGCTCCTCGAGCCCACTGGATCTCCGAAGGCGATGATCTCCGAAGGCTTCCTACCTGCACAAAGGTCGGGTCAGGGTGCTCGACCCGACCCCTCCGACGATCAAGTGAGAGAAAGATGTGGAGGGGGTTTAGGAGGAGGAAAAACCTCCGTGTGTCGAGTGTGTGATCCCCCCCTTTTGCTTAGGACTCAGGGGTATGTATAGAGGAGGTTTGATGTTACCTGACGTAGCTGTCTGCAGGGCAGGACTATACCTTTGGTGGCGTCTGACATTACCACTGGGGTTGTGTGGGAGGCCGAGCTGCTGCAGGGTATGGAGAGCCTCGGGTAGTGTGTCGCTCGGGGGATGCTGTCATGGCATGTCATATCGCCATTTTTGCCCCTATCATATGCCCCCCCCCCCCGAAAGGAGCTATGCGTCGGTTCTTGCATGCAGGGGGTCCGATGCATGGCTTCTTACTTCAGGTGGGCTGGTCATGCAGATCCGAGGTGTATGACGTAGGCGGGCTAGCCGCACGGACGCGTCTCGTGCAACATGGGGCCGAGGTGCGCAACTCAGTCAGGAAGCCGAGCAGGGTTGGACTCGGGGCCGATGGAGCCGATGAGGGCCGAGGAGCACAGCGTAGGCGGGGTGACCGCGCAGGTGTGGTCCCGGGATGGCGTAGAGCCGAGGGCTGAGGAGTACAACGTAAGCGGGGTGACCGCGCAGGTGTGGTCTCGGGATGGCGTAGAGCCGAGGGCCGAGGAGCACAACGCAGGCGGGGTGACCGCGCAGGTGTGGTCTCGAGATGGCATAGAGCCGAGGGCCGAGGAGCACAACGCAGGCGGGGTGACCGCGCAGGTGTGGTCTCGGGATGGCGTAGAGCCGAGGGGGTGTCCTCGAGCATTAAGCGACCGAGGAGGCCTCGGGCATTATGCGACCGAGGTGGCGGCCTCGGGCATTACGCGACCGAGGTGGTGGCCTCGGTAAGCATGGAGCCGAGGCACTCGGCGCAGGCTGGCTGCGGCCGAGGGACGTAACCCAGGTGGGCAAGGTAGTGGATATGGCCGAGGAGTTCGGCGCGGGCAGGCTAGCCGCACAGGCGTGTCTCGGGGTTTATGGAGCCGAGGGGCACGACGCAGACGTACTGGAGGTGCTGGTTTGTCTCGGGAACATGGAGCCAAGGAGCATGACGCAGGCGGTCTGGTCGCGCAGGTGTGTCTCGGGGATGATGGAAGCGAGGAGCACGACGCAGGCGGGCAGGCCGCGCAGGTGTGGTCTCAGTCATCATGCTGCCGAGGAGCACGACGCAGGCGAGCAGACCGCGCAGGCGTGGTCGCGAGGGCCATGCGGCCGAGTAGCACGATCAGGCGGGCAGGACGCGAGGACGTGGCCTCGGGCACCACGCGGCCGAGGAACACGACAGGCGGTCGGGCCGCGCCGAGGTGGGTCTCGGCAGAGATTGGCCGAGGTGCTCGGTGCAGGCAGGCTGCGACCGAGGGACACCGCTCAGGCGGGCAGGCCGCGCTGAGGTGGGATTTCGGCAGAGAGTTGCCGAGGTGCTCGGTGCAGGCAGGCTGCGACCGAGGTGGTGGGCTTGGCAAGCATGGAGCTGAGGGGTTCGGCGCAGGCAAGCCGCGGCCGAGGGGCGTGAACCAGGTGGATAGGGCCGTGGAGTTCGGCGCGGGCAGGCTGGCCGTGCAGACGTGTCTCGGGGTTTATGGAGCCGAGGGGCACGACGCGGGCGTACTGGCGGCACTGGTCTGTCTCGGGAACATGGAGCCAAGGAGCACGACGCAGGCAGGGTGACCGCGCAGGCGTGGTCGCGAGAGTCATGCGACCGAGTAGCACGATCAGGCGGGCAGGACGCGAGGACGCGACCTCGGGCACCACGCGGCCGAGGAACACGACAGGCGGTCGGGCCGCGCCGAGGTAGATCTCGGCAGTGATTGGCCGAGGTGCTCGGTGTAGGCGGATAGACCGCGCATGGGGCCGAGGCAGCGTGCGGCCTGCAGCGTGTTGGCTGCGCATGAGGTCGAGGGGCCGAGGCAGCGT